CGCCTGGGCTCCCCCGCTCACCCAGAGTCTCCGGCAAGAAGTCTTGGAGGAGGTGATTGGCACCCTGTTCCCTCGACTGTGGAGGGGGTTCACCCCTCCGTATATGACTCCGCCCCCTGCGGTGCCCGACGCGGGCTACAGCGACGACGACGACGACATCGTCCCAGAGGTGACCGAGGCAGAATTGAGAGCGGCGGTGCGCCGGATGGGCGCCAAGAACACCGCCCCAGGACCCGACGGCCTGCATGGCAAGGCATGGGTCCTGGCCTCAGAGGCTCTCGGGCCTCGATTGATTGGTCTCTACAGCGCATGTCTGGAGAGAGGCCAGTTCCCGCTTCTCTGGAAAGCGGGAAAACTGGTCCTCGTGCGGAAGACGGGGCGCCCTGCGGACTCTCCGTCCGCGTACCGGCCCATAGTGTTGCTCGACGAGGTGGGGAAAGTCTTCGAAAGAATCATTTCGAACCGCCTCGTCGCGCACCTGACGGACATTGGGCCGGACTTGTCGGACGGCCAGTTCGGCTTCCGCAGAGGGCGCTCCACGGTGGACGCCATCATGCGCGTTAGAGACCTCACGACGGGGACTGCAGTGTCCAGGGGTAAGGTCGTAGTGGCGGTGTCTCTGGACATCGCCAACGCCTTCAACTCCCTGCCCTGGAGCTGCATCTTGGAGGCACTCCGATATCATCGGGTGCCTACCTACCTCCGTCGTGTAATCGAGGCTTACCTGACGGACAGGTCCGTCAGCTACCCCGGTCACCGGGGCGAGTGGAACCGGCGAGAGATGTCACGCGGTGTTCCACAGGGTTCGGTTCTGGGGCCGCTCCTGTGGAACATCGGCTATGACTGGGTGCTGCGCACCGACCTCCCGAACGGCGTTAGCACAATATGCTACGCCGACGATACGCTGGTGCTAGCGCACGGGAGGTCACACCAGGCGGCGGCCGACTTAATGGCGACAGCGGTTGCGACAGTCGTTGAGAGAATCCGGCAGTTGGGACTCGAGGTGGCGCTCCACAAGTCCGAGGCCATGTGTTTTCATGGCCGCGGGAACGCGCCACCTCCGGGTGGGTCCCAAATAACGGCGGGAGGAGTTACCATCGGCGTCGAGACGACGATGAAGTACCTAGGACTCGTCCTCGACAGTCGGTGGAACTTCATTGAACACTTCCGACGTTTGGCTCCAAAGTTGGAGAGGACGGGGGCTGCGTTTAAACGCATCCTCCCCAACCTCGGGGGGCCAAACGCCTCCTGCCGGAGGTTATACGCCGGGGTCGTGCGGTCCATGGCCCTCTACGGCGCCCCTGTTTGGGCGCCTAACCTGTTGCGGCGTCCCGCTCGGACGCTGCTCATGGCACAGAGGGTCATGGCGATCCGAATGATCCGCGGATACCGCACGATCTCTGGGGAGTCGGCGAACCTCCTTGCCGGATTACCGCCGTGGGATCTGGAGGCGAAGGTGCTCGCGCGCGTGCACAGCATGCGCGCGGAGGCACGTCGCCGGGGCGAAACTCCGCTGCCGCGCCAGATAAGTGCGTGGCGGGATGAGCTCCGGCGCGATCTCATGGCGGAATGGCAGCAACGACTGTCGCAACCGAGGGCTGGGCTCGCTGCCATCGCAGCGGTAAGTCCCCTCTTTGAGGAGTGGCTTGAGAGACGCTACGGCGTCCTCACCTACCGCCTGACGCAGGTCCTCACCGGACATGGAAGTTTCGGGAGGTACCTGTGTCTGATGGGGCGGGAGGAAACGCCCGGGTGTCATCACTGCGAGGACCGCCCTGAGGACACGGTGGAACACACGGTGGGAGAATGCCCTTCGTGGGCTGAGCACCGCCGTGTCCTCAGGGAAGTGATCGGCGATGGCGACCTCTCGCGTCCGGGCCTAGTGCAGGCCATGATGCGGAGCGAGGGGGATTGGGATGCCGTCTCCTCCTTTTGCGAAGCAGTCATGCTAGCTAAGGAGGAGGCGGGACGCGTGAGGCAGCGAAGCGCTGCCTCCTCGCAACCCAGCCATCGCGAAGGACACACCGGGCGTCGGGGATCGCGGGACGATCTCCGGCCACCGTAAGCGCGGGCCTGCGGACGGCGAGCATGGGTGGCTCCCCGTCCGACCAGAAACAGACCCGAGCGTACGGCGCGTCGCGTTCCGCGCGCGCCTCAAAGAGCCATCAGACCACCACAGATGGGGCCCAATAGGGCCGATGCCGATTCGGAGTCGCGGAGAACCTAACGGGTAACCGGGGCTCCGGCTCGACGTGCAGGAGAAGGAACGGGGTGGTTTTTAGTCAGTAAGAGTCTGACACTCCCTCCCGCCTCACCCAGGCGGGGGCAGTCATTCGATGATTTTCCCCACTTAAAAAAAAAAAAAAAAAAAAAAAAGGCTGTTGATGTAATGTGAAACTATCAGAAAAGTGCGTACTTAAGTGCTAATTTTCAATAAGGCTGGCGATGTACTTGTTTACTACTGTACTGTACTAATTATGGACAATAAGGGTCGCTAAACGCTAAACATATTTAAGGTAATACATATCTTCGTCTCGCTCTTACCGGTTTGAATATGCTATCGGGAAAACTATTATTGTATTCATAATTTGTCTATTATATAGTATAAATTGCGTATATTACCAATGGAATTTGATTTTTTATGGAATGAATAAGGCTACGACTCCCTTGTCAACTACTCAGTTCAGTACGTAACTGCTAAAAAGACAGTCTAACATTACCTATGCAATACCCGCCGTTCAGAAAACAAAACAAATAAAATTATTCATGTATTGTACGTTTTAAATCCTTTTTTTTATAAATTTTAAACAACATTTCATTTATATAAAAAATGTAAAATGAATAATGTATGTATTTGAAACGTGAATTCTGTAAATTGTTGTATTCATATAGAACCTATTGTGTTTGTTGAACATTCGTTTTATTTTTCAGACGTTAACTTATTGTGTGGAGGGCGTTTGATGCATATATTTATTTTTCTAAAACGTGTTGTATTTTAAAATATCGGCCTTTAGATATTTGATAGAAACTAATTCAATAGCCGTTGTGTTTTTTTAAGATATTGGAACCGTTTTTTTATTGCATTGTGTTGAATTGAAGTTTTTGAGAGTATTGTATGTAATGAAATGGTATTGTTTGTCACTTAACCTATTATCTATAATTTAACATAATTGTATCGATATAGTGTCTGTTATTTTTAAAGTTTAATCATTTTGAAATAATTCATTCAATATACATTACAAAGTTTGGAAATATTTGCATAGCATTGGAAAGTTTCGCATTATAAAATTACCAATACACTACGTTTGGAATATTTGTACTGTAACTTTCGTGAGACATATTAAATAAATTATATTGTTAGAGGCTCATATTCATGAGCAGCATTTCGCGACCCGCGACGCGGCGACTGTAGACTAGAGTAGCAGCACGCCTCTGGCATGACTTGAAACTAGTCGTGTTCCTCGTCAAATAATTACGTGAGTAAGCCGAAAACATAATAATTTATACATTTGGAATGTTTTAGTACCAAAGTTTTTTCAGTTAACTCGTCGAGTACCGGTTTTGTAGACACAATTATAGAACAATAGGTTGCGGTCACCGGTGACCGCTTGGTATTTGACAGTTTAAGAAATATATTTTATAGTTAACTAGCTGACCCGGAAAACTTCGTACCGCCTCAAAATGTTTGTTCTCACTTTTTAAACCTTCCCTGGACTTCCCCGAACATATCAAGACCAAAATCAGCCAAATCGGTCCAACCGTTCTCGGGCTTTAGCGAGACTAACGAACAACAATTCATTTTTATTTATATAGATAAAAAATATCTTTCAACATCACCAAATTCTGGGATCAAAGATAGGCATGTGGTACATTCTATCATGAACTGAATCTGTCATCTGTGTCGGTAAGGACCTTAGGGCATTCATGTTTTTAACCAACTTAGATATTCCGATTATCTTCACAAATCCACACGCCAGCACGTCAAGCTACCACATCGACAGATTTCTTCAATTCATTTTAAACTTTTTCGCTTTTGGTGTAGAACTGCAAATTGATTGAACATATTTCTTAGTTTAGGGTAGTTTGACATGGTGGTATGTCTTCAAGCGAGGCTCGGTAGGCTGTCTAGACATCACGTAGGAATGTGGGTACCATGTTTTATCAATTCTACGTGAAGAAATTTGTATTATTTGAATACTACAGAAAATGGTTTCGTTTCAAACATTCGAAACTCATACATAGTAATTTATGCCCTTGTTTATTGTATTGTAGAGTTTGTAGAGTATATAAAGTGATGTAAAGTAGGTAGACTACCCCGTTTGCCGAGTGGTCGCAGGGGCGACTGCTAGGCAAGGGGTCTCGGGTTCGATTCTCGGGTCGGGCAAAGTATTACTGGGTTTTTTAAAAAGTTAAAGTAGTAGCACGGAGTCTAGTATTGTGTACGGCATGTGGCAATAGGCTCACCCTCGATTACATGGGACTCATAACATAAATAGTGAAAAGTGGGTGTTACATTGTACTGTACAACGGCATTAAGTGCCGTAATGTGCACCTTTGCCTACCCGGCGTGATATTATGTATGTAAAGTAGGTATTGTTACTCTTGTAAATCGTTTCAAATTATTCCTTGGTTTATTTGATAGTTCGAAAAGAGTAATCGTCTTGGCCAATAGTTAACTGCTACTATTAACCTCCGAATACTGGAAAGTTACTCAATATTAAGTTGTACTGAAATATCGTGCCATCTCTGTCATTCTACAAAGAGTTAGTAGAGACAGAACTATACTAAAGCGCGACTCAATAGTCGATAGTGACGCTTGAGTATATGGACATTAGTTCCACATAACGTGTCGGTTTGCCTATTCTATTTTATTCAGACTATCTTTTATAGATTATATAGCTTACCGCTTTGTAATAGCGTTAAAATTGTACAAAAAATTGAATATTTGTTTCGCCGTGTCTTTTTGTATCCTACGTTTACTAAGATTAAATTTGTTCCAGGACCACACACACGAACAAGCCTGGCAGTCCCGGCACACTGAACGGAGTGAACGGCAGCGTGCACGGCGAGGCCAGGCAGGCACAGTCCAAGAAGACCATCATCAGGATGCTCGGTGAGAACTTAAATCCGACCTTATTATCACGAGATAAAGTACTATTCACCTTATAGTAGAATGTAATTGAATTGCCGTGGTGGCCCGGAGGTTTAAGACGTCCGCTTCTCATGCATGAGGGCGCGGGTTTGTAACCGACCAACGGCAAGTACCAATGTGACTTTTTCCGAGTTATATGTACTTTCTAAGATTATTTGGACACCACTGACAGACGGTGTAGGAAAACATCGGGAGGAAACCTAGGCTTATAATTTCTAACTATCAGTTTGAAATCGCCAACCAGCATTGAGCAAGCGTGGTGATTAATGCTCAAACCTTCTCCGTGTGAGAAGAGTCTTTGCTCAGCAGTGGGCATTTATAGGTTGTTAATGTGATGTATGTATGTATGTGTATGTATGTATGTATGTGTGTGTAATGTAATAGTAACTGCAGATGTAACCATAGTTCGTATTGCGAAGTAATAAAAAGCAAATAGTCAAAGCCGACTATCCATCTCTACCGACGTCGCTATTTTTCTAGAATACAATACAATACAACACAGGAATGTCTTCCCAAGAATAGATAAATCTTGTTTACAGCAGACAACAGTCGACAGCTAACCAATCATTAGTTACACAATGCCGTGTTGGACGAAGTGTTGTAAGTATGATTGCTGAATAAGGGGATTCAAGTTCAATATTGTTGTTTACCATTAAACTGTCAAACACCGCGAGGACACCGGTGACCGCAACCTTTTGTTCTTTAATTGTGTCTATAATGACGGTACTCAACGAGTTAATAACATTCGACTCAATCATTCTTTTTAAACAAATGATTTTTTGACTGCAACATTGGTGCTGTGGCTGGGCAACTGGCTTCGATTTCCGCACGGAACAACTCTTTGTGTGATCCACAGATTGTTGTTTCGGGTCTGGGTGTCATGTGTATGTGAACTTGTATGTTTGTAAACGTACACACGACACAGGAGGAAATCCTAGAGTGCGGCAACGTTTAATACGTACGTACATACATTTCTAAAAAAAATGTCCTTACTACGATTATCTCCGTGTTATAGGCGTGTTTACAAACACATCATTTTCAATACACAAGGAACACATCATCAGGAACTCGAACAGCCATTTGTGAATAATCCAACCGACAATACATTGCCCAGTAGTCGGTTGTTCAACCACAACGCCAATTGCTCTGTGGGCAGCAAGTCAACCTAGTCGTTACTGTGAAATTTCTTTATTACATTTTCAACTCTATCGCTAAGAGATATAAAATCGAAAATCCAATGACATAAATTGATACATTGGGGGTACAGCAGGTTGCTGTACTGGCAACTATACAATCAAATATAACTAACGAACAAAGTGTGTTAGATACATCTGACACGAAAGCACACACTTCTGTCTACCCCGTCGAGAAATAAAAGTCGTGATGTTATGGTGCATGTCAATCAATAGAATTACAAAGTGAACACTATCAGAATTAGCGATGAATTACAAAGGAAGCTCAAAGAGTAACCGCATTCGATTTGCGGCCGCGTGGTGGCGCTGCAATCGCAAATGGCGGTTTTATCCACCAATCAACATTACTACGGAATAACGATACATTCAGTGATTTTAATTAAATATCAAACGAATTTATTAGATCGAAATGTATCTGCGTTAGTATTTGATACATTAATTTCCGTGTATGGAATCAATTTGATTCAACAAAGCTAATTAATATTTTAATTGGTACGTATGTGTGTATCTATTACTAGTTAGAAAGCAATCACAGCTAAACCTCCAGTTGTACTTATACAGAAATACATTTATTTATTTATTTATTCGAAGAAGTACTGCCATATCACAGACATATAACAAATAAAATACACCAAAGTAACAAAATAAATTAATATAATTATTATTCCTTTTTATAAGGTGTAAATATTTTAGTTTTTAGTTAGTTATATTTTAAGTTGTATATATCTATTTAATATAAATTTGATTAGTATTATTGTAATGAATTAAAAAAAAACAAAATAAAGGTCTGATGCATGCGACAATAATGGTGTACCTACATAGCATTGGCAATTCATAGGCTTAACAATGGCTTAATGGACTGCTTCGTTGGCCGAGTGGTCGCAAGTTCAAGTGCCGGGCAAGGGGTCTCGGGCTCGATTCCCGCGTCGGGCAAAGTAATACTGGGTTATTGAATAATTCTCAGTAGTAGCACGGAGTCTGGAATTGGGTGGGTGTTACATTGTACAGTGGCATAAAGCCATCTCTCTATCATCATACCATGTTGGAACAAGTTAATTTAAAAAATGTACATAATAGCACTGAATTTCAACCTAATTTCAAATGAAATTAGTCTCAATTTCATAAATAAGTTCAGACTACCATCTGCCCTCCTACCGACCACTCATATACTACAAGATCCATGTTTAAAGTGTCTCAAGCTTCTTGCTTTTCATAACGATAGTCTTAGCTTTGCTTAGAATCTAAACAAAAATAGCAACTGGTATATACATGATCCCCAAGTCACGGCGGATCTCAAAATGTCAACAAGCGTGGCTTAAAACTGAGTGGTTCAAGTTATACTAAATCGGCAATTTCTATAAGATTTCCAACCGTATTGCAATGTAATAAGATTGAAAAAGTATTACTAATTAACTTGTTGTGCTGTTGCCTGCAAAATCCAGGTATTATATGCGAGCTCTTGTATAATGAAATGCATCTGAATCTCTTCAATATAAAAGATTATGTTTTTTATAGAAATGTTCTACGCGTTTGTTCTCAGTGAGGTCACGAATTACATTAAAATATTAATCTTGTACTATTATATAAAGAGGAAGAGTTTGTTTTTTTGTTTGTTTGTTTGAACACGCTAATCTCCGTAACTACAAGTCTGATTCGAATAATTCTTTTTGTGTTGGATAGCGCATTTATCGAGGATGGTTATAGGCTATAAAACATCATGCTACAATCAATAGGAGCTGAGCAGAGCGGGTGATACCGCGAGGAAGTAGCTAGTGTTTTAATATAAATAAATCCTGGCCGCATAAAGCTTACAATTGGTCCAACATTTTACAAGATAAATCTGACATAAAGTTTAATCAGAATACTGGGTCTAGTTTAAGTATCGTATCGATATGTAATACGATTCTCCCGAAGTGCCACTGATGACTTAACGATGCTTGATTTTATCCCCAAAGAGGTTAAAAATTAAAATAAACATTACATGGTTAGTGCAGTCTTTGTAGTCTCCTCAAACAATAATAATCAGTGACTGAGCAGTGATTAGGAAAAACAATTATTGTATTTGTGGTTAATATAACGTTTATAATATGAATTTGTGTAAAACACATAGGTACATACATTTTCGGCATCGAACCAAGCAAGGCCACGACACTGGAGAATATCGTCGTGGAGAACAAAGATTTCAAAGTCAAAGCATTTATTTCAATTAATCTTTAATTAGGAACTTTTGAAACGTCAAAAATTGAATTGTCTGTACGTCTGTCAGCAAAACTAGACGCTCGTTCCAAAGTATAGTTTCCAATGGAGAAGAACGAGCAAGAAACTCCATCGTCACTCTTTTCCTAACAAAATCCCTGAAAAATTATTTCTCCAGTAGTCGCAAATACTTACGACTATTCGACTAAAAAAATACACAGTTCTGTCACACACCAAATAAAAACCATGGTTCCAAGAGAACACTAAGAATATCAAAATATTCAAATCCAAATGCGTTACCTGATCCTATGTTCGGCATCTCAGCCTGTAAAGAGGTCAGAGGTGACAGAATATTTGGGATTTATCTAAACTGAAATGTAAACTTGTCTCCTGCCGACCTTCCAGTGATTGATTTGGGTCAGAGCTGAACTAAGGATGATAGTATTATTAAGTAGATACTCATAGTTCATTTTAAAGTCTGCCGTCTAGTTAAAATTCAATATTCAGAAAGGCTTGACTGATACATACTTCCAGAATATAACACACACTTATCATCATATCTTTTATTTCCTGGACTGCTGCGTTGGCCGAGTGGTCGCATGTGCGACTGTTGCGCAAGGAGTCTCGGGTTCGATTCCCTGGTCAGACAAAGTAGTCGGAGTCTGGAATCATGCCCGGTATATGGCAATAAACTCACCCCCTATTACATGGGACTCATAACTTAAATAGTGTAAACTAGGTATAACGTTGTACAATGGCATTAAGTGCCATAATGAGCACCTCTGCCTCCCCACCCCTTCAGGGATAAACGGCGTGATGTTATGTTATATTATGCTATATTTTACTTCCAGAAAAGGTTACCTATCGAAGATTTTCACAGTAAAAGACACTTTTTGTCGCTTACAAGCCCCATAATATAGGGTGCAAACCTGCTACACCAGCCGTTGACAACAACCACATTTGAAGATAACACATTCTATACTCCGTGCTAAACTTCGAACCAAACAACAATTAATCTCCATTGCTTTACCCAAGAACGAAGATGATAGCACAAAAAATTGATCTAAACACACCAACAAAACTGTAAAGAAAATGATGTGAAAGTAGATGAATACCATCTGTACATCACGGAGAATCAGCAGACAGTATCAAGCCGAGAATGACCTAGTCTTGTATTCATTAACAGCGGTCTAGACTAATGCGAATCTCATGTAATTACCCCTCCTTCGACTGAAACTTCCCTAGTAAAGTGACAGAGCACTACATACTACATGTACATTAAGTATTCTTCAAAGTGTCCAAATATAAAGTTTTATACTTAACACAGTTAAAATTTGCTCGCTCAAGAGATACTGTGTCACGGAGATAATTAATTTTCTTGCTTGCTTGAAGATTTCATTTTAAGAGTATATAATAAAGTGTAATTTGATTTCAAACACTTTGCCATTGATTCTTGAGTTTTTTGTACTTGGCAGAAGTGTTGAATCAATAAATATAGTATGTTATTAACTGAGTAATAAATCAAGTCAAGTCAAATACATTTATTTCAATTAGACCAGGAAGGCACTTTTGAACGTCAACAACAAAAATTTTGAAGCGAAGCTATTTGCTCATTCCAAGGTGTAGACTCCTATAGAGAAGAACGAGCAAGAAACTCCATAGGTTACTCTTTTTCAATCGGGTTTCTTGCTCATTTTTCTTCTATCTTTATACAAAACTATGCTTTGTAACGAGCACCGTTTTCCATTGACGTATTGAATATTCTGTGGCGACACGCATATTTGGTGGATTAAGTGAAATATATTAGTTGAACTTTGATGTAAACGTACACGTCTACAATGCCCATCTGTGTAACTAATGACATAATAGATAAACCACTGCAATTCTATAGTTACTTGAACTAGAAAATATATAGAAAACAAACAAACTTCACTCTAGTTTCCTATAAAAACGTAACCTTCCCTCTGAGTGAAGAAACTTGTAACATAACTTCGAAATAAATACAAACTTTGATCTTATTTTGTTGTCTGATACTTGGTCAATTTTATGTGGAATCGTGTTCTTATATTTGAACCACATGAACTTAACAAGGACCTGTTGAGACTTGCTATTGTGACCTAGGACAGGTAATTGAGTCCTTCACTTTCACCTCGGGGTAAAAAATTACATAAGTATACAAAAATACAAAAATTATGTAATAAATTGGGTAATCACAAACAACATGGACAGACATATCTACTAAATTAATTATTATGTTTTCGACTTACTCACGTAATTATTTGATTAGGAACTCGACTAGTTTCAAGCCATGCTAGAGACGCATATTCATGAATAGCATTCCGCGACCCGCGACGCGGCGTCATTTACGTGAGTAAGTCGAAAACATAACAATTAATTTAACATGGAAATAGTGCGAAGTGTATTTTTTAAAAGCTATGATCAATTAAAGACTATATTCTCGCTGTGGGTCTGATTCTCCAATTTACTGGCTTTCTGTCAACCTGTCTATAGGAACACATCGTATGACAGGAAATATGATAGCGTGACGTATAAGAATAAGAATAAGAATAATTTATTTAGCAAAACAAAGGACAAGTATACGAAAGGTATGATGTATGCATGGGTATAGCGACGGCTGCGCTCCGTCAAATAAGAACAGTCGCGAATATACGGTCCTACGGTGTTTCATTTAATCGCTCCAGTACACACCATCAATATAACCCTAAAGTGGTGACTCCGACGTGATGTCAATCATACAAAATCAATCAGAATTCGAAAACCTAACATACCTATTATAACACCAGGCCTCATCCAGGCGGAAGAAGTCATTCGATGATATCCATTTAAAAAATAAAAAAAAAGTAAACCCATTATAACAGGCATCATGTGCACGAAACAATATCATCCAAATCTGACCTATCTTCTTGTTGCAGCGGCGGTGGTGGTAGCATTCTTCGTGTGCTGGGCTCCGTTCCACTTCCAGCGCCTGTTCTTCATCTACGGAACCTCCTCGCGGCACTACCACACCATCAACGAGTACCTGTTCTACGTGGCCGGTGCCTTCTACTACATCTCTGCTACTGTCAACCCTATACTGTACAATGTCATGAGCCATAGGTCAGTATTGAGAGGAGAATAGTTAAAGTAGAGTTTTATGTGTGGGAGAGCCATGCTTCGCCACGAATGGGCCGACTTGACCGGAGTGATACCACGGCTAAGCAGAAAACAGATGTGAAGCAACGCTTGCGTTGTGTATCTCCAATAATCCTCAAATTCCTAATCCCGAAAAGGCCGGTAACGCACTTGTAACACTTCTGGTGTTACAAATGGTTCGTGTGTGCATGGGCGACGCCGATTGCTTACCATCAGGTGATTCGTCAGCTCGGCTCGCGGCGGCCCGACTTATTCCATAAAAAAGTAGACCGTAGTTAGAAATGGTTGAGTTAGAGATTTTTTGATGATCGTATGTAGCCACAACTCCCTTGCCCGGCACTCCCACATGCGACTCCCGTCAGTCCCACTCAGCCAACGAGGCACAGTACGCTAACGTAATAATTATCATTACTTTAAAAAAATCACGAAAGTACATTGTCCCTTAAACGTTAACTTAACATTTCATGCAAAACTAGTACATATATAGAGGGTAATGCTTCAAACTATGTCACACATTTAAGTATATATTACTTACTATGTCAAAGTATGTTAAGTAACTGAAACATCGCCTAGCCTCATCTAGAATAGCTTTAGTTTTTACAACTACTGCTAACGCGGGACTCACTCGAGCTAAGTGGTCTCATGTGAGCCGCCATCTTATCCTTCGATTCCTTCTAACTTTGTGTACAGACAAAGTTTTAGAACAATAATGTCACTATGATAGTAGTCTCAGTTTTATCTATTCAGGTTTAGTGGATTTAAGATAATAGGCTTTGTTTTTACCTGATAGGAAGGCCTTTTTGAAACTCCTTCAAACGAAAACTCTTTGTGTAGTTGAAAGATAGAGGATGATTCCTGTTGCGTACAATAGACACAATTCCCAACTCAGTATTATAGTATACAGATCATTTAAAAACTTCTTTAGTTTATGCGTTGTAGTGTGATCGTCATAATTATGAACTCAAACTCAAAAGCATTTATTTCAATTAAACCATAATTTGGTACTTTTGAAATGTCAACAAATATGAAATAAATAATAGTCTGTCAGTCAGAACATTAATATTATTCTCGTTGCCCGCCTTGGCTGCCTCGTTGGTCGAGTGGCCGCAAGTGTGACTGCTGGGTAAGGGGTCTCGGGTTCGATTCCCGAGTCGGGCAAAATATTACTGGGTTTTAAAAAAAATCTCAGTAGTAACACGGAGTCTGGAAATGTGCCCGATATATGGCAATAGGCTCACCCCCTATTACATGGGAGTCATAACATATATAGTGAAAAATGGGTGTTTAAGTCGCTTAAGTACCGTAATGTGCACCTCTGCCTACCCCGTCGGATATAAAAGGCGTGATGTCATGTTATGTTAATATTATTCTTTGTTCGTTGGACATTTACGCGGCATGATGAGCAAATATTGCTATTAAATAGAAATATTACATTTGATGAAGATTCAAGCAGTTTTTTTCAGATGCCAGTGCCTTTAGCCAAACGCCACTTTAGCGCTTGTCTACAGAGAGAGAGTAGAAATCAAAATGTATGGGGATGACACTGACAAGTGACAAAATTTACGTCAATTCCATATAATTTGGTTTTCTATTCTACATGTAGACAAGCTAAATGGCATTTGGCTACAGCTGCAGATGTTTGAAAAGTCTTGAAAGCTAATATATTTTTGATCGTGTTATCCTTAACCTGCCGTGAGGTCATAAGGTTCACAAAGAGTCGTTTGTATCGACATTTTCTGCACAAAAGTGGCCGTCTGAAGTATTTCGACAACCACATCGAATTTTTAGACTAATTTGAATTTAATTATGATGAGTTTACAATTGATTTTACGTTGGCGCAGTTATCAGGCAAAATGTTGAACAAAGACTAAATTATGTAAATGAGTATTGTTCTTTTGAAGTAATCGTTAAACTTGGTTCGTTTATATTATTGTAATTCGAAAGTTTCGTCTGGCCACTGTTTATATAGTTTAATAAATTAAACTAATTGTTAGGGATTATTGTATCGTTTTCTAGTCAAATAACATTTTATTTTTATTTTATTTTTTTATTTTATTTTACAATTTTAGGAAAACTTACAGCTAGGTATAACATAAGGATAGATTAAATTATAGATAAACGGCCAATAACAAGTTTCCGCTTATAGGTAATTAAATTACTAGTTTAAAAAGACAGCATATGACGAAACAAAAAAAAACTGTTTAGAAAAACAAAAAGAAATAAGATAATTATTATGTTTGAAAGAAACTTGAAGACATTAATTTCTTTAATCTACGTACGCTAGTGTGAAACAAATCCAAATCAATCCTCCGGCACTCTGAATTGTATGTCCGACACGCTCTTATCATGTATGAATTTTGTCTATAAACAGTGTTGGTAGACGGGACGTTGAGAAGTACAGGTTTGCGCAGAAAAGCAGAAGGCACACGCAACCCTATTCTGTCCACCAACTCCGGTATATCTAATGAGCCATTTACTATATTGAACAGGAATGATAAATCTGCAATTTTACGGCGCTCACATAATGGAAGGGTGTGAAACTGCTTGCAACGATCTATATAGTTATTGATGTAAGTTTTAGAGCGAAACTGGATGTACCTAAGAAATCTCCTCTGAATACTCTCGACACGATCTACATATATGGCGTAGTTAGGATTCCAAATCTGGGAGGCGTATTCCAGGTGACTGCGGACGAACGCACAGTATAAAATTTTTAATGTTTTTATATTACGAAATTCAGAAGAGACTCTGAAGATGAAACCCAAAGCCTTAGATGCCTCATTCACTATTTTATCTATATGGGTATCAAAAATTAGCTTTGAGTCAAAAATCACACCAAGGTCCCTAATGTTGTTAACTCTGGATATTGTGCACCCTGAGAGTTTGTAGTCATAAAGGACAGGACTCGGTTTGCGTGTGAAAGTGCATACGAAACATTTGGAAACATTTAGGTCCAGTTTGTTGACGACACAGTACTCCTGAAAGTTATCAAGATCCTTCTGCAGAGATATTGCATCCAATTCTGTCATTATCGGTCTCAGTATCTTCATATCATCTGCATAAAGTAGTATTTTAGAATTTTGAAAACATGCATCAATGTCATTCACAAAAATATTGAACAATAGGGGTCCCAGAAGGGACCCTTGAGGCACCCCGGAAGGGACACGGACAGATCTTGATGAGTATCCGTTAAGAACCACTATCTGACATCTACCCTCCACATAGGATACAAACCATCTGTACAAGTCACCTCTGATACCTATACAAGCCAGCTTATACAATAGCTGAAGATGATCTATTCGATCGAAGCATTTGCTGTAGTCGGTGTATATAACGTCCACCTGGGACCTCATTGACATATGTTCAGACAAATAATCACTACAGACAACAAGATTAGATGTAGTGGAACGGCCCTTAATGAATCCATGTTGTTGCTCCAAGAAGGAATGTTTAAGAGTAGAAGATAGCTGTGTATGTACTAGTTTTTCTAAAATTTTGGCAAATATACACAATTTGGATATTGGTCTGTAGTTTTCTATAACGTTTTTAGGTCCTTTTTTATGAACAGGCGTTATATACGCCGACTTCCATACAGTTGGCATTACTCCAGCAGCCATAGACTTCCGATATAGTATTGTCAACGGGACAGTCAAACTTTTAGCACATTTAGATATAAAGATTGGCGCAATGTTATCTGGCCCCGCCGACTTGTTTACATCCACGTGCTTAAGTAATCGAAATACCTGCTCTTCGACTATCTCAACGGAGCAGATATCTGCTGTTGAGGACTTATGGTGTGTGGAGGGTACACGGTCCGAGCCAGATGAAAGAGGTAATTCCTGAAAGTTAGAATAAAAAAAGTTGCTGAACATATTACAGATGTCCTCTCCATTGTTGGATTTAATTTCGCCATACTTAAATGTGGAGGGATAAGAATTAGTTTGCCGTTTGCTCTTAACATAAGTCCAAAATGACTTTGGATTCTTCAAAATTGCTGATTCAATATTTGTGATGTAATCAACATACATTTCCCTTTCCAAGTCTTTGGCCCTTTTACGCAACATAGTAAAGGACTGAAAATCACTTAGATTACCATATTTTTTATATTTGGAATGGTATTTTGATTTTTCTTTTAAGATCTTTACAAGGGGACTTTTGAACCAGGGGGGATACTTACTACGCGGCGTTATTATTTTAGTAGGGACATAATCTACATGTAGTTGTTTAATAGTATCATAGAAGAAGTCAACAGCGCTCTCAAGGGATCTGCAGTTCAACTCCATATTCCAATTAACTTTGTTCATTTCCTGATTTATGGCTATATAATCAGCTTGATGATATAAATTACTTACTCTAGGACGGCTGGGTAGCTGAGGTAGGTGAACAAAATCCGCAGAGACACACAAAGCCCTATGGTGTGGATCCTCTGACACCAATGGATCCGTACAGCAAGCAATACTAATATCGTGATTTGATAAAATTAAGTCCAGTATCCTATCATTACTGTTACTATATGGATTGTACTGCGACAAGTTGCAAGCATTTAAAATATCACAGAAGTTTGTCTGGATATGACCTTGTACGTTACCCGGAGACAGATAACTACAGCCCTTCCCAGGAATCCACTGAATGCCGGGCTGGTTAAAATCACCTAAAACTAAGAATTTGTCAGCCGCATGTTTCATATTGATGTCGAGTAAATTGCTAGAAAAGTTATTTAACTGAACCATAAGTGAATCTCCAAGAGGTTGGTTGCAAATGTAAACAACGCATAGATGTAATTTGAAGGAGGTAGGAGGTTTTTTATTATTAAGAGTTAAAGTTACCCACAAATCTTCCGCGGACGAGCGCCACTCACTTCGATCGTCAGCCGCAATTTCGCGTCGCACGGCAATTAGAACACCCCCTCCCATTGATTGATTTGTATGTACATAATTCCGATCTCTTCGCCACACAATATACCTATCATCAAATAATTCACAATCCTGTATACCCCCAATGAGCCACGTTTCTGTCAAGCAAATTATATCAAAGCAATTCACAGCCACTGATCGATAAAAACTAACCGTTTTCGTTCGCAGTCCCCGAACATTCTGATAATAAATGCTAAGAGGCACCATCGATGAGTATTAAAAGAATGTGAGTACATCTATGCAAAATAGTACGTACATCCAGCCCGCAGATAAAAAGAACTGATTGCATAAAAAAAAAAACTTTATGTTTCACATTACATTCATTATATTCACGGAAGAAAAAGTAGGTATAAGTAAATAAAATAGTAATGTTTCTGTTACTAATTGATAAAATTAAATTCTCATGCAAACGATTAACATCCCTCCCATCAATGTTGCAATGTTTATAATTGTAGAATAATAGGATATTACATTTTAAAAGAAGCGATAAGCGAACTGATGACTCAGAGCGGTACGCATAGAAAAAACATTTACCTGAGGCTACGGTTCTCAAACCCGTTCGGACGATACAACACAGAGCGCAAGTTGCACTATCATACTGACACAGATTATTCAAAAAAACTTCTCGAGATCATCTTCGTTTCTAATGTGGTGTTTCACAGATGTCGGGGATTTACGAATAAATATTTTACAACCTCGAACCCAGACGTATTGGAAACCCCTTTCTTTAGCCAGTGATTTTGTTTTATTCAATAATGCTTTATTCTCCAGTGTAAGATGGTCGTTGATATAAATTCTATTATCACCTTGAAATCCCAAGTCATTAGCAGTTAACTTTTTGAAGTTTCTAGCAGCGGATATAAAGTCGTTTTTGAGATAGTTATTATGTACTGAGCAAATTATCATCTTTCCACCACTATCACTGCGCATAGAAACTCTTGCGATATAATTAATTTGTTCTTTGGGAACGTGACACTTAATTTTGTCACCGATTTTCGCCATGATGTTAAATAGATTTTCAGAGCTAGTAACAGGGACACCTTTAATTTCAATGTTGTTCATTCTCGATCTCTGCTCATTTTCTCGATTCAGTCGCTCCTGTGTTCGCCAATGATCACGCAGCATTACTAAAGTCTCTTCGCTTTTCTTTAGTTTGTCTATTTCGCCCTCCAAACCCGCCACCCTGTTCGTGAGATCAACAAAAGAACTGTGCACAAATTCCACCGATGCTTTGAGGTCAACTATGGATATCTTTACATCAGCAAACTCGTTTTTTATAGATTTTAACTCTGAGAGTTCTGCCTTTATGGCCTTCAAATCTTCCATTAATCCCGGCAATGCCTCCATTTGACTAGATAATTTCTTCAACTCCGATAAAACGGTGCCTGAATCCGACGATGACGTGGATTTGACGGTACAGGCTCGGGGGCTGGCAACACAGCCTCCGCACTTCCATGTGGTTCTTTTACGGTCGGCGAGCTTTCTCCACGCCGCCTCGGTAATGCCAGCACAGGAAAAATCAAAATGCCCCTCGCAAACAGTGCACCTAACCCCATCACTAACATGGGCTTCTCAACTCTTGCACGTAAACATTGCGATGGAAAAGTTTGAGAAACTCAGAGAACACGCACACGACGCAAAGCAAGGAGTGCGAGCGCGCAATCGGTATCGCAGTCTACCGTCGACGAATTTTATATGTTATTCTTCCATTGCTCGAATTCTAAGTTGACGCATAAATTACCTTCTTGACTTTCTATAATCGATAAGGACACACACACACAGAGAGAGAGAGACAGAGAGAGAGAGAGCGCGCGCGAGAGAGATATGTTTTTGACAATAAAAGAAAGATAACTTTTATTGACACATACACATTAAACTTAAAAAAATCTAACATATTACATCGTCCACAGGTACCGCATCGCATTCTCAGAGACCCTCTGCTGCGGCAAGGTGATCAGCAAAAAAAACAGGTACCGGGAGCACTCCAGCATCAGAGAGACCATGGTGAACCACACTTCCGACGGAACCAACCTGGTCAGAGTCCGCTCCGAGATCCAGCATAAAAGGAACCGAGTGGACAGACGAAGCAGAAGATGCAGCTACTACGGAACGGAGACCACAAGCCTTTGCAGCGAAAAATGGAGACAGGAGACTCCAAAAAAGATGAACAGCATGTTAATCAATGACAGGAACAGTGTATCTTCAACCTTATGTAATAATAATGACAGTCAATTGTTGTACAGCGACTTCAAAATAGATGGTGACGTCACTTAGGGTACCAGGCGCGCAGACATCGCGAGAGCTAACTTGACCGTCATGAGATACTGTCCGCCATATTGTCGATATGACCTGGATTGTAACTTATATTGTGATACAATGATGTAGATTTAATACTACGCTTTTAATGTATAGATAATAAGGTATATAATTGGTTATTCTGTATAATACGACTTGTTTATTTGTGGTGTTTATCAAGTAAAAATAAATAAGAATTTCGAAGAAAGTCACCTCAAAGAACTTCGCCCAAAATGTAAACTCATTTTTGTAAATATTTATCAAGTAAATCATTAGTGTAGTAGTGTGACTATATCTCCGACGGTTTTTTCAACGAAAGGACAAATTATTTTCTCTTGTAAGATGCCTAGACTAAATTGGGTCTCACTTCCATTACGTACAATCTAAATTAAGACCATGTCATGCGTGTACTAATATATATGTATAACAAACATTAGTTCGTAGGTACCTACTCGTGCCATGTTAAATGGCTCTTATTTTTAACTACTTTGAACAATGCAGTTAAGTTTTACGTAACTATCTGCTCTTTAAAAAAATACATCAAAACATATTCTATGTCATCAACTCATCGATAAAGATTCACAATTAAAATAAGTAATTTTTAAAAAATATAGTGTTAAGAATCCAGTCGAAGTATAACAGACAAGCTTATAGTTACACTTACCACCAGGCGAGATAGTGGTCAAACGTTAGCCCATACAATATATATAAAAAAAACAAACAACCAATAATATCACTGTTAAAAGTTTTAATGACTAAAGTCAAGTAAATAATACCCACATACTTTTGCTTAATCACAAGCAAAACCATGTTGTAATTACAGTATTTCTCGCTGAATCAGCGGTGTAAACAAGAACCACTGAGCTCTGTTCATTTTGACGTTTACCCGTTTCTTGTTCAGCCTGGCATTCATTTAATTAACCCGGATAACCGGATAACCTTCAAAACATTAAATAGAACACTTTTTGTAATGCTTTTCTTGGAGTACATCAACAGCCTATAGGTGGCCACTGCTGACCAAAGGCCTCTTCTCACATGGAGAAGGTTTGAGCATTAATCACCACTCTTGTTCAATACGGGTTGGCGATTTAAAACATATTATTAGAAATTATAAGCCTAGGTTTCCTCACGGTGTTTACCTTCACCGTTTATCAGTTCGTCATCTCATCATCGTCGCCATCAAACGTTGTTAAGTATGTTATTTAAGCAAACGAAATATAAGTAAAAAGAGAGAAGGCTATCGACACACACATTTATTCGTCTTCAATTACACATAGATAATCTATTGCCATAGACTATACTATGACCGTAGAGTATACCACAGATACACAACAAATGTCAAAGTTTAGCGAGTTTAGATTTAAGGCCACACCTATGTACTTATATATTCAATGAATTAATTTGTTAAAATGTGGTGTCTTAAATCTTAGAATCTTTCTTGGATTACCTGGCAAAAATGTAGATATCTTTCCTATTTTGTTCTGTTTTGATACAAAATGTAATTTTCATCAAATTGAAACCTTTCATTACATACATACATACATCAAGCTACTCTTTTCATTTTCAACTTTATGTCGTAACAATACAGTTGAAAGTCAATAAAATTAATTTGACCATTGAGATACCTTGATGTGCGTAAGTACTTAAATATTAAAGTTCCAGTAAGTCGCCCAATTGATTCAATCCTCGAAGGAATTGACAAAATATCAATAAAAAATAATTCAGAAATTCATTTTATTTTGTGTGATTGGTACCTACATAATAGTTATTTCATGAAGGTTGCTCCCAAAGGAATAGATAAAATTAAGCTGTCCATATACTTAGAAATATGTAAAATAGTTTTGTCCAGTTATTGTTCTTGTACGATTCTCGAAATCTAACGAAATAATTGTAATTGTGTTTCAAGGAACATGACACTCTTTTATGTAGGTGTGTCATCAATATGAGACGTGTGGGTCAGGTACCATTTGAAATATTTAAATATACTGAATTCTCAGAAATTAGACCTAAGTGATAATTAGTTACCACATGTGTATCGCGATAAAAATCAATCAGTCGTTGAAAGTCATAACTATCATTGATTTATTTTTAATTCTATTTCAAAACGTATTTAATGTCTGCATGTTGTTTTTTAGACAATATTCGTCAGTTAAGCGAGGGTTTATTACTTTCGAGGCCGGACTTATATTAACCTTACTTTAAAACGTTTCTACCAGTGGTTCCCAACTGGAGGTCCGCAGAAGAACAAATTATAATCCGCTAAATAAAAAAAATACACAAGATCTCCGCCCAATAAATGTCACGGTTAAAATTCGAATTAAACTTAGGTAAAGGGAGCTAACTACTGAACTTCTTATTTCAAACGTTGCCCGATACTTGGATTTTCTCCTGTGTCATGGGTGCTTTTACAAACATACAAGTTCACATACACATGACACTCAGACCCGAAAAAACAATCAGTGGATGACACAAAGAGTTGTTCCGTGCGGGAATCGAACCCATGACACGTTGCACGACAGCCAGTTGGCCAACAACCGCGCCAACCCTGCAGTCAATAATACAAAGAAACTATTTCTTTGCGAACGAACCCCACAACTCGAGAAGAAACCTTAGTATGAGACCAGAAAAATGTAACAGCAATAGTGTTCCCTAACCTTATAAGAATTATGTAAAAGCGGTCCTTGACCAAGAAAAGGTTGGGAACCCCTGCCTAATACCCCCGGGTACAAGCAATTTTTAATGAAGGTTTTATTACTATTTATTTTACCCTGTTTACTGTGTATACAACCTACAAACCTCCAAGGTCAAATAAAGATACCCACCAGGTGGCATCTTGATCTATTTTACTTATAAAATGTCGAATTATATTACTTGACTTAAAGTATTGTAAAAAGTGCTTAAAGCATACTCTCATAAGGTACATTTTGTAAATATATCTAAGTAATTATGTAACTTTTATAATTGTAATTGATTATTGTAACTACCAGCGCTGAACTAAGAGAATAAAGCGAATTAGAATTCCATATTTTTGTTATTTCATTATTTGTGTTCTACCTGATCTCTACCTAGGTACTTCTCTTCGTATTACGATATTTTAACATTAAATATTCGAGTAGGAATGGGTTGTTACTATATCTAAAATATCTTAATTTATGAAAAAAATTACTGTAACTAGACTGCTTTTGCACATTACTGGTAGATAAATTCATACGTACCTACCGTATCATTTACTACCTATAATTTTATATATATACTAGCTGACCCGGCAAACTTCGTACCGCCTAAAAAATATTTTTCTCACCTTTTAAACCTTTCCTGGACTTCCACGAACATTTCAAGACCAAAATTACGCAAATCGGTTCAGCCGTTCTCGAGTTTTAGCGAGACTAACGAACAACAATTCATTTTTATTTATATAGATATTGGACTTTAGTCCATGTAAATACGCCATCGTTATTACTTATTACAATATGTGAAACACTCTAGAGGCGAAAAATTGTTCTAAGAAAAGAAAATTGATTATGAAAAGTGTTCATGGATAAGATCCAATAAAACCCACGCGGTAATGTATTTTACGATTACGGCTAATCAAATCTATTTTTTGTAACCATTTCTATAAATCAGTTCTAATGAAAAAAGTATTGATTACCTCCATCACAGCCTCTGTAATGTTTATTGAATACTAAAATCATTTATACAGTCCAATCCCAAGCATCTACTAGTTTCGGATGGGGCCCTCTAGGGCTGATACCGATACGGAGCCGCGGAAGACTTAACAGGTTACCGGGGCTCCGGCTCAAAGTGCAGGAGTAGGAACGGGGTGGTTTTTAGTCAGTAAGAGTCTGATACTCCCTTGCCTTGCTAAAACCTTACGAAGGCGGGAGAGGTCAGTAGTAGATGATTCCCCCCCCCCCCCCTTAAAAAGTATGTCCTAATTTAGTTCTACATATATTCACAAAACTTAGGCCTAAAGTTCACGTTGCGACATTTGACGAATGCATGCATCCTTCAGAAGCAATAGGCGGCCTACAAATGACAAATCCTTGCATCTTGTTTAGATTTAAAGAAAACTGTCCACGAACCGGCGACGTCAAACCGCCTATTGCTTTTTTTTTTAATGGGCAAGCCTGCCACAGCCTCCCAAAACCGCTGCAACTCCTGTAAGCCAGGATCTACAGTAGATACAACCTATTGCTTGTGAAGCAAAGTGAACAGTAAACCTTAATGATTTTAATATTCTGCTGATTGTGTTCTGCCACTACCGCATTTACCGAAGTGTCAGGTTCATAAAATATATGTGTAAACCTCAGAAAATATCAAGTTATTTTATCCTAGTTATTTACTGAAATTATGTAAATACCAAAATAAAATTACATAAAAAACAGTTACAATAAAACACACCCTGTAAAATTCTTCAATTTATAGCAAAATCTACGACCCACTCCAATAACCATTGTCAACTTTAAACCTTAATTGATAAAGTTGAATTTCCTGAAGCAATGTATTTTGAAATTTTATGAAAAGATGAATGGACGGACAGGTGTACTGTATATATGGAATTAATTCCATGCAAATGAGCTTACCTTCATGTAAAATCATTTACGAATATTATTACAAGTAAATTGCCTTTCGATATTAAGCCGGTACTTTGTGATAATAAAGTAAATATTAGTTAGTTATTGTGTGTTCTGTCATTATCCTTTAGAAGAATATTCCAGAGTTTGTTAATGTAAATAAACCGATTACACGAACACATAAGTAAATAAGTCTACTTCTTACTTAAATTGAATGTTAACATAACATAACATCACGCCTTTTATTCCCGTATGGGTAGGCAAAGGTGCACATTACGGCACTTTTTTTTTTTTATGGAATAGGAGGCAAACGAGCAGACGGATCACCTGATGGCAAGCGATCAGCGCCGCCCATGGACACCCGCAACACCAGAAGAGTCACAGGTGCGTTGCCGGCCCTTTAAAAAGGAGTACGCTCTTCTCTTGAAGGTTTGAAGGTCGTATCGGTTCGGAAATACCGCCGACGACAGATCATTCCACAGTTTTGCTGTGCGAGGCAGGAAGCTACGTGAGAACCGCACAGTTGTGGCCTGCCAACCATCTATATGATGGGGATGCATATGCTGTCGTGAGGGTCGATGGCGAAAAGATGCGGCAGGTATCAGGTCAAACAATTCCTCAGAGCACTCCCCGTGGTATAAGCGGTAGAAAATGCACAATGAAGCTACATCTCTACGCATTGCCAAAGTGTCGAGCCGGTTTGAAACATCCGGACATCCAACAATCCGAACGGCACGCCGCTGAATGCGGTCCAGAGGAAGAAGTTGGTACTGGGGTGCCCCCGCCCAAAGATGAGAACAGTATTCCATGTGGGGCCGCACCTGTGCCTTATATAGAAGCAGGCGGTGGGTCGGGGTGAAATACTGCCTCGATCTATTGAGCACACCAAGCTTCCTCGAGGCTAATTTGGCCTTATCCTCTAAATGACCGCAAAACTGGACGTCGCTCGAAATATTGACACCAAGTATTCCAATACCGGCTGAGGCAGTTAGGGGGGTGCTTTGAAACTGAGGAGAGACGACCAACGGCAGTTTCTTAGCGGTAAACACGCAGACTTGTGTCTTAGTGGGGTTAAATTGGACCAAATTAAGTCCACCCCAATCAGAGATTCTCCCTAAAGAGGTCTCGATTTCAGACACGAGTCTGTTTCGGCTCTCTATGACGTTTTCCCGAGAAATGTTAGCGCGGCCGGTGTAGTAGGCATCGCCTGTGCTGTCATCCGCATAACAATGAATGCCGCTGATTTGCAGCATGTCATTGATATGGAGGAGGAACAATGTAGGCGATAGCACGCAGCCTTGAGGGACGCCTGCATTTACAGACATCAAGTCAGAGCATTCACCGTCGACGACGACTTTAATGCTTCTGTCTGCAAGGAAGTAGGAGACCCATTTGCATAATTTCTCGGGAAGTCCGTAGGAAGGAAGCTTCGAAAGAAGCGC